CAGGATCCAGGGGTACCCTCAGGATGAACGGCATCGGCGAGAGAGGGAGAGAGAGAGAGAGAGAGAGAGAGAGAGAGAGAGAGAGAGAGACCAGACTGGGAGTGTGCAGCAGAGTCTGGCAAATCTTTGTTTTTTTACCGTAGCTTTTATATTCTAAGTTAGTACAATTTTAAGGGGAAGATAGTTTAATATTACATCAGCTTATCCTTCATGAAACCAGGGTGTTTTCTGCAACTTCTTTGTGAGAGTCTTGTACATTATCTTCTGGCCATGGGGCCTATTGACATTTTTTGACCTAGGTGAATGCAAAGCTGTTTTCCGCAATCTATTCTTTAATGAACACAAAGGTCAGTCCTTTTGTAGAAGTCATCAGTTAAATTTATCTAAAAGGTTTACCACACAAAGACTCTGCAGCTCCAGTGAGGCAGCCCCTGTTTAGCATTCCTGGTTAAAATTAACAATTCTAAACTCTTATTTTTCTGAATCTTTAACTATAACCACTTTTAGAATAAATTTTTATGTTCTCTAATAGGGCTTCCTCACCCCCGAAGGGCTCTGTGCCTATTAGGGACTTTTGTGTGATCAGGTTCTTTATGCTGTTTATGATTAAGGTGTCGTGAGCAGTCATGTGCATTAGTACGCATTTGCCAAGCAGGCTAGAATGCCAGCAAAGGGGTCTAAATTGAAATACTCCTTTCATCCTGGATAATCTTATAGGATACCACCGTCCGGCGGGCATATTAATTAAAGTTCTAAGTTGATTCTGTTTGGAGAGAGATCGGGGAAGGCCGTCTACCCATGTCACAGAAATTAGGGAGTAGTCTCATATAGCAAGCATCAGAAAGACAGAGATCATCTTTAAGGTGAGTGCCGGGGCAGCTTTTCAAAATCTCTGAAGTCCTGATCTGCCTTGCTTGTCAGGTCTTCTCCTCATGACCTTGTCGTGGGTGGGATCTTGTGTGCTGGCTCCCGGCAGATAGAGGCATGGATGGGTGGAGTGATTGGTTCTATGTACACTTCTAAGTTCCAGAAATACAAAGTCGATAAGACATGCCCGTTTCTTCAAGGAGTGTACAGGCTGGCATCTAGTGGGTGAGAGAAATAAATGAACAACTACATATGGAGGCATCTGTGGGACACTTATGAGGTCCAGTTCATCCAGGGGATTCAGATCTTCCTGAAAAAGTGATGCTAAAAGTAAGACTTTTAAGGAAAGGGAGATTGTACCTCTCCCTAGACAGAAAATGGAACAGCTAAAGTAACAACTTGCGTAAGTGTGGAGACGTAAGACAACAAGAATTTGAGAACTTCACATGGTTTAATGAGCATGACCACAGAGTGACTGATGAATGCACAGGCATGCAATAGCCACATTTTGAAGGATTTTACATATCAATAAAGGCCATCAGCTTTATTGTGAAACCTACTTAGAATTCAGAATTTCAGACAAAGTGATAGCGTCATCAGCCTGACATTTTAAATCGAAAGGGAGAAAGAGAGGAGAATGGATTAGAGCAAGGCCAGGCTACATTTAGGGAAGCTGGGAATTTGGGCGAGAATTCAAGAAGGACCTGAAGGTAGGTGATGGCCTTGGGAGTGGAAGAGAGATGAATAGAGAAAGGAAATAGAATCAGTAGGACTTGTGGCTGAATGGCTTTGCAAGATGATCTAGAGGGAGGAGTCTAGGATGATTCTTAGGTTTCCAACCTGGGTTTCAAGGGAGGTCAGGGTGGTACCATTCCTTATGAAAAGAATAGGACTGAGCGTGATTGGTGGTAAATATAACTATCTCTGGTAATCAGTTTTTATGAAATACCCAATTGTTTACTCGCTGAGTTGGTCCCGATTCTTTGCAACCCCATGGACTGCAGCTCACCAGGGATCCCCCGTCCATGGGATTTTCCAGGCAAGAATACTGGATTGCCATTTCCTTCTCTAGAAATACCCAATATGCATCTTAATAGATGAATCTGCTGGCGAGTTGACTGTTTTGGACCAGAATCGTATATTTAGGATCATTTAATGGAAGTGGTGTGTGAATCTATGAGGCTGGCACTCAGGAATAGCAGATGAAGTTAAAAAAAAAAAAAAAGTCAGAGGAGCCTTTGGTACATGGAGACTTAACAGGCCAATAGAAAGGGAGTCTTCAATGGTTACTGAGAAGAAACCAGAGAGGAGACAGGAAAACCATGGTAACTGGGTGTTACAGAAGTTAATGGAAACGCTTCAAAGAACACAGTATTAATTCAAATAAGATAAGAACATTATAAAGTCAACTGGATTGAACACACAGGTCTTGGGAACTCCATGCAGCAATGGAAGTAAAAGTTAGATGGGAAAGGAATAAGAGCTATGGAGGGTGAAGAAATTGAGACTCTCCCTTTTTGCAGGTAGGAAAATTATTATTATCTTCCCTAGTAACCAATTCGTTGTTCCGCAGTCTTTCCTATTAGGAAATCTTTTATGTCCATCTTATCAAATCTTTAATTTTTTAAAAGATGAAAAGGTAATGTTAATTTTTTCATCTTGAACAAAATTAAGTTACTAAGTTTCATGCTTATTACACAGATTTGGTTTGTTTATTTTTAAATTATAGTAGTCATGGCAAAAAATGGGAAAATGACTTCAATTCATTAGTGTTTGGATTATTTACAAGTACCTGTAAGCAGTTTAACCAAAAGAGCTTTCTGTTGCCATATGTTTGGAAATCCCCAAGGAAATATTCAATCCAAGTGTCAAAAACATAGAAAGGTAGTTGGGCTGCTCTGAATTGGGATCTTTGAATGCTTAGCTCTAAAGCTGTTCCAAGAAAGCATGCTTTTCTCCACACCCTCTCCAGCCTTTATTGTTTGTAGACTTTTTGATGGCAGTCATTCTGACCGGCTTGAGATGATACCTCATTATGGTTTTGATTTGCATTTCTTTAACAGTAAGTGATGTTAAATATCTTTTCATGTGTTTGTTAGCCATCTGTATGTCTTCTTTGAAGAATTTCTGTTCAGTTCTTTGGCCCAGTTTTTGATTGGGTTGTTCGTTTTTCTGGTATTGAGCTGTGTGAGCTGCTTGTATGTTTTGGAGATTAATTCTTTATCAGTTGCTTCATTTGCTGTTATTTTGTCTCATTCTGAAGGCTCCCTTTATGCCTTGTTGTGAACAACTAGGTGTTGTTTCACCTAGTTTCCTTCATTGTGCAAAAGTTTTTAAGTTTAATTAGGTCCCACTTGTTTATTTTTGTTTTTGTTTCCATTACTCTGGGAGGTGGATCATAGAGGATTTTTCTGTGATTTATGTCAGAGTGTTCTGCCTATGTTTTCCTCTAAGAGTTTTATAGTTTCTGGTCTTACATTTAAATCTTTAATCCATTTTGAGTTCATTTTTGTGTATGGTGTTAGAAAGTGTTCTAGTTTCATCCTTTTACACATGGTTGACCAGTTTTCCCAGCACCATTTGTTAAAGAGATTTTTTTTTTTCTCTATTATGTATCTCTCTTACACTGTTGGTGGGAATGCAAACTGGTACAGCCATTATGGAGAAGTGTGGAGATTCCTTGAAAAACTGACACATATGACCCAGCAATCCCACTCCTGGACATACACACCAAGGAAACCAGAATTGAAAGAGACATGTGTACCCCAATGTTCATTGCAGCACTGTTTACAATAGCCAGGACATGGAAGCAACCTACATGTCCATCAGCAGACGAATGGATAAGGAAGTTGTGGTACATATACACAATGGAATATTACTCACCTATAAAAAAGACCGCATTTGAGTCAGTTCTAAAGAGGTGGATGAAACTGGAGCCTATTATACAGAGTGAGGTAAATCAGAAAGAGAAAAACCAATACAGTATATTAATGCTTATATGTGGAATTTAGAAAGACAGTAATGATGACCCTATATGCAAGGCAGCAAAAGAGACATAGATGTTAAAAACAGACTTTTGGACTCAATGGGAGAAGGCGAGGGTGGGATGATGTAAGAGAATAGCATTAAAACATGTGTATTACCATATGTAAAATAGATGACCAGGGCAAATTCAAGGCATGAAGCAGGGCACTCAAAGCCAGTGCTCTCGGACAACCTTGAGGGATGGGGTGGGGAGGGAGGTGGGAGGAGGGTTCGGGATGGGGGGACACATGCACCCATGGCTGATTCCTGCCAATGTATGGCAAAACCACCACAATACTGTAAAGTAATTATCCTCCAATTAAAATAAATTAATTAAGTTTTTTAAAAAAAGAAAGCATGCTTTCTAGACTACTGGAGAGACTTCTATCACATCAAATAGATTCTCCATATTGACACATAGTATGCTTATTTGTTTGTTTTGCGATTATGTTTGTCAATAAAATCTTAAAACTTTATTTATGTAGATCTTTTATCTTTCTTGTTAAATTTATCCTGAGTACTTTGCAGGGTTTTTTTTCTCTTATTGGTAACTGGAAATATATTTAGGTTTACTCTCCTGATTTATCTAAGAGAAAAAAATGTCAGAATGTTTATCTTGTACCACCTGAACATGTCTTATGAGTGTTGATTATTTTTAGTAAAGTTTCTTGAGTTTTCTATCATACTAATCATATTATTTGCAAACAAAGATAAGTTTACCTTAACAGCAACACCACACTTTTTCGGAATGAGGAAGAATGCAGTTCTAGGCAAATGTCATCTGGGATGATGCCTTCTTCAAAATGTTAGACATTTTGACAACATCTGCTCTAATAGCAAAACATTGAGAACCCAAAATCTCTTTGGAAGAGAAGACTCCCCGGGAAACACAGTCATTTAGGCAACATCTGGTCTGAATTACTTTACTAATTTTCTTTTATTTACTAGCCTTCATTTGACAGTTGTGGTACTTTTTTCCAGAGCGGCAGTCAATAAAGCTGTAAGTCTTTCCCCGTCTGTGGTTCATTTTCCTCTTAGAAGAGATACAGAGGGTTTCAAGGAAAGTCGCTTTATGTTCTGCTACATTTGCAACCCTTCTTTTATTTCAGGGGCTTCCAGGAGCAGCAGGAGAGGCAGGGAATCAAGGCCATTTGGGAAGCCAAGGAAATAAAGTAAGTCACATTCTTCTTAGCCATGAAAGCCGAGGTTTTCTTCCCAGGGGAAATGTGTCTGGCTGTATTAGCCAAAGCCCTTTCAACACAGAAGAGGACACATCTCATTGCCCCTCTACCCTGCCTCATTCTTAGAGAGCCAGCAACGTCTAAGGACGTGGGTGTGGACCCAGATGAGGTCAGGGAATCCAGCTCAGCTTCAGCTCATGAGGGACCACACCCAATCTGAGAATCTCGGGGAAGGGGGACTCTTCTAAGCCAACCCTTCCTTCTTTCTCAACCCCCACCACTTCCTTCTCTTCTTTTATTTCTATCCTCCATTTATACGAGCACATGCTGAATACCTTTAAAGTCAAAGTCACTTCAGCTGGGCTAACGTCAGCTCCGAAAGGGCAGAGGTCTTTGTTTTGCTCACTGATGCATCCCTAGAGCTTTGACTAGTACCTGGCATGTCATCAGCGCTTAGAAAATATCTGTTTAACGAAAGAATTTCTGGGTCGTGAGGTGATACCTATGACACAGAATCAACCCCACGAAATTGAGAGAATGTTCAAGACAAGAATCTACAATGGGGCTTCTCTGGTGGTTCAGAGGTGAAGAATCCATCTGCCGATGCAGGAGACACGGGTTCCAGTGTTAATAGAAGTATTTCCAGAGTGGAAAAAGAGGCATCATAAGGATATAGATTTTGAGTAGACTTTGGAAGGTAAGAAGTGTTTGGCAAGGAGTGAGAAGGGGCAGGGGAGATTTATTGAAGAAATAAATACTGGAGAAATAAATATTGGAGAAACAATATTTCTCCAACAAATACTGAAGAAATAAATAAAGGAAAACACAAGACTGGAAAAAGCCCATGAGCAGGTGTTTGGGGGTGAAAATTATCCTCCTGGGGGACCGTGAAGAACAGAGAGGTCCGTGGTGACTGACTTGACTAGGCAGCCAGTACAGTGTTGTTTGCAGTTTGTGATCTGCATATGTGAACACAGTCAGGTTTGGAGGCTTCTAAACAGGCAACTCAGTGTGGGAATATTTTGAAGACAGAGAGACTGTAAGCCAGGAGGACTGTTGGCCCCTCACAGACTCGAAGACAAGCCATGACTGGGTGACTCAGCAGGGAAGGCCAGGAGGGGCTCAGGGGGCTCCTATGGAGTGTTCCCAGGAAGGGACTGAGACTCAGAGGAGAGGGCTGGATGGCTCTGGGCCCCCAACTTGAGAGGGAACCCCATCACAGAAGTGGGAAAGGCAGAGTGGGCTAAAGAGTAAGGGAAACCCCTGGGTCTGTGGGTGGAGCAGAGAGTCTAAGACTGATTGAAGATGCAGCTTTCAGAATCATTGGAATTTTAAAAAAGGCTCTTGGTGATGACTCTTTGTAAGAAGGGTAAGAGGAGGCAGAAAAGGAACCATTGGAAAGGAGGGGGGAGAAACACAAAAGCACACTGGATGCGGAGAAGGAGAGTCTTGGAGAAGCTGGGAGCCTCAGCTGGCATCACGGAGGCAAGGGGGAAGGACTAGAGCAGCCACCACTTCTGGTGCCCGAGATGCACCAACGAACAGATTCCAAAATGTAGCAGTTGGCCAGCTGCAAAGGACTAAACAATGTGTTTGGGATGGAGACCTCAGAAAGGCAGACATGGTGGAGCCTGCACTTGAGGGTCACAAGGACAGCTGATCGCAGGATGCAATGAGATCCATCGGTGACAAAGATAATCAGCTCCGAAAGGGATTACTAGAGATGCGGCATAGCAATAACAGTCTGGAAAGGAAAGTTTGGAACAGACACAATGGTGCCTTCTCGCCCTGGAGAGGGCTTCAGGGGCAGTGGTGTCTCTGGGAAAACTGTTCGTCCTACAGTGAGGATGCATCTGTGCAGACATCATGGGCATATGGAGAAGGTTTGCGTGTGAAATGAGAGCACTTCATAGGGTGTGGTGGAAGAGACCAAGACAGAGGTAGGCAGAGATGGAGGGACCCTAGAGCTGGATGTAGATGAGAGTGTAGAAGTGTGCAAAGAGATAGATAGCAGCAGGGTAGTTGTGCCAAAGAATATCATTGCTGATAAGAGAGATTTTTGAACGGGACGGGCAAGAATTTGGGAGACAAGTGCCCTCAATGCCAACCCAAACCCTTTGGGAACCTCAAGATGGACCAAGTTCTCCAAGTCTACGACGAGCCGCAGACACTTACTCCTACCTTATTCCATTAAACTCAAGTTCCCAGGGAAGCAACCAACCCAGCAGTTCATCCCAGGCTCGGTGTCTGACTGTAATCAGTAACAAAGTGTTTGACCTTGAACAAGCCTTATGGCTTCCTTTGTCTCCCTGTCTTCAAGCAGATGTTCTCAAACTTCAATGTACATAAGAATCAGCAGAGAAGCTTATTCACAAAGGCATATCCTCGGGCTCCACCTCCAGAGCCTGACACCAGTGGGATCCAGGAATTTCCTTTGGCATGTGGACCCTAGGTACATGGGAGGCAGGTGGCTTCCAGAGTGCAGTTTGGGGGCCACTGCCCTGGAAAAAAGTCTGCAAGGCAGGGGGTCTTCTGCCACCCTTCCATGGAGCCCTAGTCAGTGTGCCCCTCCAGGGATCAGTGTTGATGGACATTTGCCCATTTGGACTCCTCACACGTACTGTGTGGTCTTTCTAATCTTAACAGTGAGTTGACCAGTCCTTCAGTGTGGGCTGTGCACACTTCCACTCTCTTGGAAAGGGAAAGGAGAATAACGAGACAGCGGAGAAACTTAGCCACGCCTTCCTCAGCCAGATGGCCAAGGTCAATAGTGTCAGCCACATTGATAGGATATACTCTTGATGTGAGAAGAAGGGCCCCTCACTTTCTCTCACTATGGATATTTTCTCCCCATTCATAAAACAAAACATAATCATGAGGAAAACATCAAACTCCAATTGAGGGACATTATACAAAATACCTAATCAGTACTCGTCAAAACTGTCAAGATCATCAGAAACCAGAAAATCAGATAAACCATCCCCATCTAGAGGAACCTACAGAGACATGGGATCCTGGGACTGGAAAAGGAGATTTGGTGGTAAAAACTAAGGGAATATGAATAAAGTATGGACTCGGGGCTTCTCTAGTAGCTCAGTTGGTAAAGAATCTGCCTGCAATGCAGGATACCCAGGTTCGATCCCTGGGTCAGGAAGATCCCCTGGAGAAGGAAATGGCAACCCACTCCAGACTTCTCACCTGGAGAATCCCATGAACGGAGGAGCCTGGCGGGCTACAGTCCATGGAATCGCAGAGTCAGACATGACTGCAACTAACTTTCCTTTCCTTTTAATTAATAAGAATGATTTACTATCCACGGGTTTGTTGTGACAAATATTCCCTACGAATGTAACTAATGTGAAGTTAACAATAGGGGAGGCTAGATGTGGCGTGTATAGGAACTCTTTACTGCCTTCACAACATTTCTGTAAATTTAAAATTGAGATTTTAAAAGCTTTTTTTCTTTTTTTTTTTACAAAAAGGAGTTAACCTTCTTTTGTAAACCTGTGTTAACTTTCCCTAGCTGTGTGTCCTCAATGTGAGACTGAGGTTGATTTATAACCCACAGTAGACGTGCTACTAGTCAGAAGTCAGAAACTGTTGCCAGGGATGTCATGCTATCTTGGTTATCTTGACTAAAACTCGATTAATAAGTCAGTTGATTCTGCAACATCCCGATGATTTGTATGGCTCATCACAGGGAACAGCTTTGTTAATCTTTAAAGCCGTCCAGAGCCTCCTCTTTGACTCATGGTAAGACATTTCCAAGGGCTTCATTTATCAATGGAGGAGACTTCACTCACCAACAGCAGCGCCTCTTGAATTGCTTACAGACTCAGTCCTAGCCACAAACCCATAGTCATGGATGCAGCTGAAAATTCTTGTCTTAGTTCCATCATTTCTAACGTCCTTTACAAAAGCAACCTAATAAAGACATGTGTCATTTTTCTGTTTGACAGGGAGAACCTGGCGATCTGGGGACAAAGGGAGCCACTGGCCTTCGGGGTCCTCGAGGCTTGCCGGTTTGCATTTTATTCCTATTTTTGATCTGGCTCTTGGACTCTTTTTAGTTCAATAGGTATCTCTTGATGTGAGAAGAAGGGCCCTTCATTTTTTCTCACTGTAAGTCTTGAAAGTCTTTAGAGTGGTTCTCTAAAGAGTGTGATGAAGATAACAGCCCAATCAAGCTGTAGAATTTGCTAGAAATTGAGATTTCATCTTCATCTTGGCCAGCTTTTCCAAAGTGACAACTTCCCAGGTACCAAGCATTCTGGGTTGGATGCTCTTAAAGCCAAATGACAAAAGGGACAAAGCCTGTGGTTGACATCCCCCAGCCTTGCTTCCGCTGTTTCGTCTCATACAAACCCCTTCATGTGAAACCCAGCCCACCCTTCCACCAGTGCTAGGGGCTTCTCACTAAGGCCTGTACGAGGACCCAGCAGCAGCCAGTACCCAGACACTTGGGAGATCTTTCTTTTATCCAGCAAACTGAAATGCTTTAGAGAGAAGGTATATCTCTCTATAAAGACAAATGCTATCCAAGAGGGATAACACTTCTACCTTCTTTTATTAAGATTGTTATACATCTGAAATTTTCTCATTTCATTCTCAGAACACGAGGAGCAGTTATAATTATTATTTTCCTTTTATGATGAGACAAGTGAGATTAAGTGACAATGCCTTGTCTGCATTTGCTATTGAGAGTTCCCTTTAGTGCCACTATGTCAGTGGGCTGCCCCCGAGGGAGAATCCTGCTGCTTAATTTTTCCTAAGCAAAACAGAAAACTGACTGTCTAGTTCTCTTATGAATAAGCCTATCTCCACCCACCGTTGGGGATGTTTGTAAATAATTGCTGCTTCTTACAGGGTGGTGATGGCAACCCAGGTTATGGTAGTGTTGGAAGTAAAGGAGCAAAGGTAAGACCCATTGGCTGAAAGCTGGTCATTTTCAGTTTTGTTGTTGCTTTTTTTGGGCCACATTTAAGAGAAAAAAAGGAGTGAATAAGGTAGTCTTAGATCTTTGGAGATAGATTTTGATCATTTATTCGATGATATCTTATGGAGAATATGGTAGGAAAAAAAACTTGATAGTTTAAGGGGCAGGCAACAATTAAAATTCAAAATTAATTTTCAGTTCTTTGCAGAGATGCACAGTCAGGGGCTGACTGGTTCCAGCCTGGACAGTACATCTAATCTAGAGCCCGAGGGAGGCATTCCAAAATATGTCCTCTGAATATGTTTACTCTAACCGTTTGTGAGAAGTTCTGCAGGGCCTTTCCAAATGCAGTGGGCCAAGCAGTAATTCTAAGATTAAACCTCATAACTTTATATCAGAATTATAACTTAACATTGTCACTGAATACTTAAGTGCTGGAAGTAAGACAGATAACTGTACCAAAAGCAGTGATTGCTGTATACCAACAATAACCACTTAGAAATCATAGCAGCATCCATAAAAACATAAGATAGTTAAGAATATCCTTTCTACAAAAATATTCAGGGCCTATAACAAAAATTACTAGGATATAAAATTCCAATAATTGGAAACATACAAAATACTTGTTGGGAAGTCTAAAACATTATAAGGGTCAATGTAATCTCAAGTGAAATCCCAACGAGAATGATGAAAGAGGCTGTCTAGAAGGATAAACAAACTCCCCAAAGCTAAAATTTCTTTTTAAAAAACCCTAATGAATGAAGGATTTCCAGTGAAATCTTCATTGAAAGTAACCTTAGTATTTGATAAAGTGGAACTATTAAGTAGCTAATAGAGCTGAGCTAAAGTCGCTCAGTCGTGTCTGACTCTTTGCAACCCCATGAACTGTGACCCTCCAGGCTCCTCTGTCCATGGGATTCTCCAGGCAAGAATACTGGGGTGAGCAGCCATTCCCTTCTCTAAGGGATCTTCCTGACCCAGGAATCAAACCCGCGTCTCCTGCATTGCAGGCAGATTCTTTACCATCTGGGCCACCAGGGAAGCCACTGAAACATTAGCCACTCCTTAAAATGAATGCAGATGTTTTTATACATAATATATAGAACTTATGTGACAATGTCAAGTAAATATCAAAATGTAATAAGAAAAAAAAAACCTGTATTCTAACTGTGCTAAAATGCATTTTTAAAAGATTAAATAAAATATGGCAAAATATTTATAGTAATGGTTCTGGGAAGTGAAATTTGGGTGAATTTTCTTCTTTCTGCCTTTTTATTATTTTAAATATATTTGAGGAGAGATGACTTGTAATGATCAGAAAACAAACATTATCTTAAATAAAATATTTTTTTCATCAAGTTAGGATTATCATACGTTTACAACTATAGCCTGTGGCCAAAGTAAGGTAAACAGAATACCAGAAAACAAATGATCAGATTTAGTCTGCAGGCTTCCCCAATTTTTCCTTCAAAGTTGAAATCCAGTTTAAGAAGACTATTTCAGAAACGCATGGTCAGATCACCAGCTCTCCTGCTGAATGTTTATATTTGAAGGAGAGCTGAGGCGTACATTTTACCCACTGATCTTAGGTTGTCATGATGTTTTGGTGAGACCAGTCAATAGTTTAATTTGGAGACTGGAGTTAGTTTCTCAGACCATGCAATACAGGTTTTTTTCTGGCCCTTCCTTGGTTCAGAGGCTTTTTTTTTTTTTTTTTTGGTTCAGAGGCATTTAAAATAAATAAGGCAGCAGGCAAAATTAAAGTCAATATAAATCTATGCCCTTGATATTTGCATATATTAATTTTCTCAATTATAGGGGCAAGAAGGATTCCCTGGAGAAATCGGACCTAAGGTACTGTGTACTTCATGCTAACTAGAGATCAGAGATACTCCTGTTTTTATGAAATGTGTTGTAGGACAGTAGAAGAAAAATTAATTATAAATGGATAAAAAGAAAACTTTATGGAGCAAGGGGAGAAGAAAGAAGCAGGCTTTTAAAAATAATCTTTTATTTCTAGCTTTTTAATTCACAAGGAAGAAATCATCCATGTTTTTCTCCTCACATGTCCTCCTCCCCCTCTGCCATATGTATTTTCTTCTTTGCTCAAAGGGAAGTAAAATGTGAGAAAAACCAAAATTACCTGATCTCACTTGCCTCAGTTCTCCTGATGTGTTTGTAAGTCACCTTCAGGTGGTAAGTTTAGCCATGCTGTCCTCTACCTTAAGGCTTCCGCTCCTACTGGAAGCACTGACTGAACCCAGAAAATGCCGGCTCCTGTGATAGCACAGGAGTGCCAGTATTTTCAGGGCACAAAATAAAAAGCACAGTCCGTATCTCCAAGGAGGCTGTGTTCCATCTGGAGAGACAGAGAAATAAAACAGTGAGACTCCAGTGGGGTGTGCTGAGAATCAGAAAATGGGGTTATCAGGGCAAGACACTTCAAAGAAGGCTATTAAAGATAAAAATATCCGTGAAAAATGTCTTCATGTTGGAACCAGTATAAAAAGACACTGAGATATACCTCTGGTTTTACTAACCGTTTTGTTTTGTTTTTCTGAACTTATTTAGGGTGAGGTCGGGGACCCCGGTGGCCCAGGAGAAACTGGACCCAAGGGCGCTAGAGGCAAGACGGTAAGTTTCTTCAGTCATAAAAGCCTTCCAACCTCAGCTACCGTGGGAAGTCCTACCTCAGGCTCTTATAGTCGTTTGAGTTGTCACTTTGTCCCCAGTGCTTGTAAAACGTGTAGTTTTTGTTAAGGCAAACTTGGGGCAGGGAAATGGATATTTTGCTCCTTCTTTGCCAGCAATAAGGCAGTGAACTATTGGCTCTTAATGACCAGGTTCGCTTGATCTGACTGATAAGGCACCATTCTTAACACTGGAAATAAGTTGTGCATTTTTTTTTCTTAAAGAACCATTGTGATCCAAAACAGTGTTTGTACCACCAAATATGACCCATTTAATCCTGTCCCCTCAGCAGACTTCATGTAACTTACTGCCCACTGGCGTCTTGTCTCCCTTTTTAAGCTCTTGTCTAACTACTTTAAGGAGGTGATCTTCTCCCAGTTTAGCTCAGGAAAGTACCTCTTGAGCTATCTGAGAAAGTTCTCATTTATTATGTAAGATGGTGCCTAAAGCTTTGGACCACCCGTCTCCCGTACCCTCAGAAGCATCTGCACCTTGAGCTTGCCTTGGGTTCTCCTGGGCTAACAATGGATTTTGCCTTTGCTGACTCTATTTACCATACATTGCAAAAGTGAGACGGTCGCTTTATAAAAGACACAGTCTTATGACAGTCATCTCTTGAGACATTATCTCTTTTCATCAGAACAACTCCGATCAGGTAAATAGATCTTGATACCATGTCAATTTCTGGATAAGAAAAACACGAAGTCTGATTAAAGAAAAAAAACAAAGATGTTACTTGAGGTGGTTTTTCAGTTTTGTCACCATGGTTGGTTTGACCCTGATCTGTTTTTTCCTACAAAGTATAGTGAAAACTGTATGTGAAGAAACTATTCATGTGGGCTTTAGGGGTACAAAGTTTGAGAGAATAGCATTGAATCGTGTATATTACCATATGTGAAACAGATCACCAGTCCAGGTTCGATGCATGAGACAGGGTGCTCAGGGCTGGTGCACTGGGACGACCCAGAGGGATGGGATGGGGAGGGAGGTGGGAGGGGGCTTCAGGATGGGGGACACATGTACACCCGTGGCTGATTCATGTCAGTGTATGGCAAAACCACCACAATATTGTAAAGTAATTAGCCTCCAATTAAATAAATAAAAAATAAAATAAAAAACAAACAAAAAAAGAAATACACTATAATGATAAAAAAAAACAAAAGAAACTTCTTTCCCTCCACCTTACTTTTCCTAAGAGGACTGCTTCCTGGATGTAATTCTTTGCCTTATATATGTTTTTGGTTGACTGTCCTTCAACATTTTTGCTCTCAAAAGAAAAAAAAAGACCGATAAAAGAAAGATAATTGGAAAAGACTTTCAGATTAATCTAGATGTCATCTGCATTGAATCCTTTCTCTGCACGTGTTAATGAGATATACCCGTGAACACTGGAGACACGCAAACACAGCCAGCAGTTTCTTGACTTCTCTTATTGCCCAGTGACATATTCATCATTAAAAAAAAAAACTAATGGGGAATATATAATCTTTTTCTCTTGGCCTTTGGCTACTTCATCTTTTTCCCACATTGGACAATTTATCACTGTCTTCAACTTGTTTATTTCACCTGCCAAGCTGCCTGTTTCTACAACTTGTATTTTTGAGTTTGAAGTTTAGATACTGAAAAATTTCTAAGTTTTCGTTGGAAGGTTTTGGTAATAAAGCTTTGAGTATCTCTTTAGTTTCTCTTGGAATGATTATATTCCTAGTTTAAGTTTTCTAAATCTTTACCTTTTTTCACCCCAACTGAAGCATTTGTTTTTTTGGTTTTTTTTAATCTGCTATGATTTTTAACCTGCCTAGTTTGGGGTATAAAGTTATGTTTGTATTTACACTTTTTATCAACTTTACACATGCACACCCTTTAAGGCAGGGTTCCTCAGCCACAGCACCACTGACATTCTGGGCTGGATCATTGTGGGGGCTGTTCTTTGCTTTGTAGAACATTGAGCAGCGTCCCTGGTCTCTGCCCACTAGAGTCAGCATCACCCACACCCCCCCCCCCATCATCACTGCCAAAAATATCTCCAGACATTGTCAAATGTCGCCACAGGAGTCAGGGTTGAGGGCCACAGAATTCCCCCCAGTTAAGGACCACTGGTTTAGAGTGTCAACAAATTTCACAAGGTTTGTTATGAAAAGCTGGCAACCCGTCTGCCACGTAGCTCCTATTTCTCTAAAAGCTGTCTTGTTGTTCTACTTTCTGGGAGATTTCTTTGACTTTATCTTACAATGCTTCTCTCACAGTTAAATTTTCAAGCTTTTTTTTTTTTTTTTTTGCTGCCTGAATATTCTTTTTTAAACGATCTTATTTTTGTTTCATGGTTGAAGCAGCTCATCTCTCTGAGGATATACATTAGTACTTCCAGAGTCTCCTTTGTCCAACACAGCCTGTTCCCGGCAGGGTTTCTTTCTGCCATGCTCTCTGGCTCACGTGTCTCTCTGTTGAAGAGCTGAGGACACAAAATCTGACTGGAAGCCCCAAGGAAATGAATAGGGCTTGTCAACTACAAGTTTCATTAAAGAGTGATCTGACTGAGTTTCTACTTGGCAAACATCTGAGAGCAGCATCTTGGGGTCTTCTCTGTCTAGTCAGATTCCCCTGAAAAGATTCTTTCGATCTTCCCCCTAAGGGTGAAGTTCTGGCTGACAGCTTTCCGGGAGCCCCAGCTTTCTTGGGGTCTCGCATCTATTCCACAGCTTCATTTGATTGCCTCCTGCTCTGGACAGTACCACCAACCTTCAGCTCTGCCTGGGGTTTCCTAGCATGTGGCCATCTCAGTTTTACCTTGGTCATCGAGGAGAAAGAAGGGACATTTGACTCAACTGTTGAGAACGGAGAGGAAGGTTGGGATTCCCCAACCAACCTGCCTTCTTTGCCCTCTCTCCTTCATGCCCACTTCTAGAGGTACTTTCTGAGGATGCATTATAAATCACTCAGCCTCTTAGCTTTCCCTGTTGCTGGCCTAGGATTCAGCTTTTTCAGCTCTAAGTCACTTAATGCTTTCCAGTTTGAAAGCTATTGTCTCATTTCTCATTCTCCCCATGTTTGTTATTTTTTGTCTGCTCACTATAATTTTGGTAAAACACTGGAGGAAACAAAAGTAAACACTTATGTCCAATAAACCTTTTATTCCCCTGGAGGTTAATCTATCTTCTAAGTAAAATAGTAAGGCTGCATTTTGTTTTGCTTTTTCACTCAACCCAGCAGGCTGTGCATATCATCGGAAGACACAAATGCCATCAGTAATTATTTGCTATTTCATAGGCAATGCTTTTACAGATTAAGTTGATTTTAAACAACCTTACTTTTCACTCTCTTAAAGCTTATACATCTCATGACATTATGAATGAACAAAGAAATATTGTCCTAATTTTTAAACTAAATTCTAGCTTTCTTTATGATAGATTATATTGTTGAATGCACACACATAAAGTAAGTAGTCAACAACTGTTGTTTTTATTTGCTACTGCTATTCCCCATTTTACTACAAATATTTCCAGCCAACTGTTCTGTGCTTTCTTATGGTTCTTTCAAGGGTTTTTATATTTAAAATTTTGCTTTTCTGAGTCTTTTTGTTTGTTTGCTTTCATGTGTTTTTTAGTTAGTCACCTGCTAAATTTAGATAAACTGAGATAAAAATTCATTTAGATATAAGTTTCTCCCTTGACCCAGAAATTCTAGTTCTAGCAATCTTCCTTATGGAAATAATCAGAATTGCACAGATGACTTTATAGTGGTATGCTTATTGCAACAACAGCAAACTTAAATGCCAACAATAAGGGACTGATTAAATAAATCATAGTATCTTCATTTAATAGCATATTATAGCAGCCATGAAAGGTGATTTTTGTGAAAGAAAATTTAGTAACTTGAAAATGTCCAGAAATATATGTTTAGTTTAAAAGGCAACAATAAAAAGTATAAAAATATATTAGATGGAATGTAAAATACCAGATATGAACTCTAATGTAAACTATGAACTTTGGGCGTTTATGATGTCAATGTAGGTTCATCACTTGTAACAAATGTACCACTTCAGTGGGGGATGCTAGTAATGGGGGCATCTAGGACGATGAAGGATCAGGATATATATAGGAAATGTCTGTAACTTCTTTATTTGTTTTCTGAACCTAAAATTGCTTTTAAAAAATACTCTTTAGAATTAAAAATAAAGACCATGATTTATATATATATATATATATATATAATATTAAGATATATATAGATTAACACCAAAAGGATAAATAAATAAAAGACTGGAAGCAAAAACACCAAAATATCAGTGAGTATTATTTGGGGGAGAAGAGGTTGCTGAGGATGTTTTTCCTTCTGCGTGCTTTTTGGGAATCTCTCAGTTTTCTAAAGTGAAAGTGTATTGCTTTTGAAATTTAAAACACCCACATCCACAAACACATATGTATAATTTTAAAGTAAATAAATTCTGCTTTAAGGTATCTGCTGGGCTTCCGGGAGAACCAGGATCCCCTGGGGAGCTGGGACCTCCTGGGCGCAAGGTAAATCAAAAACCCGTCAATCACATTGGCTCCTTTTCCAGATAAAAAGTCAGTGCCCGAAGTCTTCATTATCCAAATATGTATGCTTTCTGTGTTTGCAGCTTGGCAATGATTTCCACCTTTAATGTGCTCAGGGAGAGGAGGGGGGAAAATTGCTGATTAAATATCAGTTGCCATTTCTCCGGTGGTAGGGGGAAGCGAGGAAGGAAGCGAAAAGAAATTTCTTATTTCATCTAGAATGAGGTTTCTCAATGATCAGTGCATTTTATTTATCTGACCAATCCTTGCCTTTTTTCTCACAGTGAGTGATCAGTGAATGAAAGAAAGGGAGAGGAAATTAACAAATAGTGAATAAATTACCAACACTGCATTCATATGGAACTTATTTTCTTGAGGAGTTTGGGTGGGGCGCCATCACATTTTTCCTGTCCCTTTGAGCTCAGCCAGACTCTTCCTGTTCCAACTTGACACTGAACAGATGAAATACAAAACAATTCCACTTTGTTCTTCCTATACTCTACCCATATAGATACATATGTATATATATGTGTGTGTGTGTATATATATATATATGATCATATACACATATATATACATATATATATATATTCATTTTTGGAAGACAGTAAGGATTACCTTTCTAGATATTTGGCTTGTCTGGTCCCTTTGTCATCCAGCCGATGATGGGCACAGATTCAGAAGCGTTGGGGAACTCGGGACCTCTGTGTTAAGGAGGGGCTGGCCCAGGGGATGGCTCAGCCTTGTCTAGTTCTAGCCCCAGGATCTGCTCCAAAGCTCTCCTGGCCAGTGTCTCATCGCCAGCTCTGTCTTTATCTTCTGGACAGCCCTTATCGTCCAGAGATACAGCTGGAGGACAGCGGCCACTGGAGGTTCACTACTTACAATTTCCTCCCCTTAGAGTGTTATTGTTAATCTGGTGATGAGTATCCTGCATGGATTTTTTTCCTCCCTCTTACTGAGAATAAAAAGGTTAGGAAGCTATCTTTTTCTTAGAGTAATGTTGATGTGTATTCTGGCTCCTGCGATGTGCTTCCAAAACCCTGAAACCACGTTCTTTTTGTTTCCCCAGGGTGTGAAAGGAGCCAAAGGATTGGCTTCATTCTCTGTACGTATCTGCTGACTCCAACAGAGCCAGAGCGTCCCGTGACATTTATTTATTTCTCAACTTGCAGGACCTGGAGCTGTTGGTTAATTCATTCTGTTTTGTTTTTTGAACTGCAGACATGTGAGCTCATCCAGTATGTGCGGGACCATAGTCGTAAGTACCACACTTGGGATGATCACCCGGGGTGTCAGCATTCGTAGAAGAAAGCAGCAAATTCTGCACTCAAAATTGAGACTAGTTGCCAGACAGTTTCTTAAAATTAGAGATGTCACTGTGTATTTGGAGGCGGCATAGACTGATGTCTATTAACGCTCTCTCTAGCTGCCAGCATGTCTACTGAAACATACTAAGGAAGGATATATTTAGTGCTTTTAATCAGGGAAAAATGAAGATATGAGGTCAGAACTCTCCTGATGGTGAAATCAACCAGCGAGGAGTCACATTAAACTTTATAAAATTATTAACCCCTGACAACAGCTAAGGATTGAATTCAGCTGCTGTGAAAGAGCCAGCCACGGCAAGGAGTTATCCTGGCTGGTGGGAACTCTGACGTTTGTTTATCATTCCCTGAGAAGGTGTGTTTGACTACCTTGAATTAGACTCATTTGCTTCTAAAATTACCCAGGCTGCCTGTATTTTCTTTACTTTCAAGGTTTTAAAAGCCAAAACGGGTGTTTTGATTTGGCAAAGGCTCTTTTGAATTTGCTTTAAGACCCTTAGAGCAAGCTCTCCTATCAAAACACGAGTTACCAGCATCAAAGGAATCCCATGGACAAGATGAGGAGACTTGCTTGTTTAATGTTCATCTACAAACGACTTCCAAGATAAACGTTAGGACTGAAAAAAATGTCACAGTTCCCTCAAGGCATTTGAGGGGAGAAAACAGACAAATTAAGAACCCATTTCTGGAGAGGGGATGGGTCTCAAAGACACAGACTTTCCAAAGCTTTGAATGCAGTACTGATCTTAACTCTGCCTTGTAGCAGAACGGAACCATCCATTCTGGGAATCAGATCTATGCATGGGATGATGAAGGTTGCTTGCTTTGAGGCTGGAGTAGCAGAGTGGGCTCTCTGACATTGGAGCCATGTGACCTATATTGACTCAAGGGTAGATCCAAGTGTGATGAGATCTAAGCTTTCAAAATGTGATGGATTTAATACAAAATTATAATTCCAAAACGAGGCACAAAACTACTTCAGAAGTGTCATTTAGAACAAGAAAGGAAATCACAGCCAATGACTTCTGCCTGTTATAAAAGTATGTGATCATGTCAACGCATGGCTGGGCGCTTCACAAGGCCTTGCCAGGGCCCCCTTGGGTGAGAGGCTGACAACAGTGCTGCCCAGAATTTTCTGCAATGATGCAAGTGTCTACTGCACTGTCCAACATGTAGCCACTAGCCACAGGGGAATTTGAGCCTTGATGGATGGTTAGTGCAAGTGAAAAGCTGCATTTATCTCATTTAGTTTAAATTAACTCAAATGTAAAGAGTCACAGGAGACTAGTGGCTTTCCTATGGACAGTATGGTCCTAAAGCTTAAGCTTCATTTGTGTGTGTTAGTCTCTCAGTCGCATCCGACTGTAGCCCACCTGGCTCCTCTGTCCATGGGATTCTCCAGGCAAGAATACTGGAGGGGGTCACCATTCCCTTCTCAAGGGAGCTTCCCGACCCAGGGATCGAACCTGGGTCTCCTGCCTTGCAGGCAGATTCTTTACTGACTGACCGACTACTAGGGAAACCCACATCAGAGAGTAATTTGGCAATACCTATTGAAGTTGAAGATGTATGATCCTCTGTGTCCCAGAAATCCTGTTCCTACACAAATCCCTAGAGAAAGCTTCATTTACTTAAGAGTAAATCTATCAAGGATGTTTACATATACACACACATATATAAATATGTATATATGTGTACCTATATGTAATCAGTAGCTATAGATACCTACATGGGGGAATTTAGAGTGAAAAGGGATTAAGACCTTTTAACTTTCCAAATTCGGTACATCTCTCTGCAACGTGCTGTTCCCTCCCAAGCAGAGAGCCTTTCCCTCTGACAGCTGGCTGCCTGCTACTGATTTATGGTCCTCCTGTGTCTCCAGCCCTATTTCTCTGTGGAAGGACCTGTTCTTTTGCCAAGATGCTTGATCTGTCTGCGTATCTTCAAACGCTCTCTGTGGCCTTGATTTGTTGAGTTGTCTACAAAAAGCTCACAAAGTCGAGTCTCGGTTGCCATGATTTCTTACACAATACAGAATGCTGTTCTCCTACTAAATAATAACCCACTTCTTTTGTTCTTCTTCCCCAGCTGGCAGACAGGGTGAGTAATTTTATTTATAGCATCTTATAATCAAGCTCCAAAGTGTCACACATCTGGAAAGATGATTTAGAACATTGTGTTGCCTGCGAAATTATATAAATTTTATCTAAGCCCTCTTGGTAGCACAGCCCTCCAATAAATCACTTGAATTTAAGCTGAGTCTCGCAGCTCTTTGTTAACCAAGTGTTTGATTTTTTAATTATTAACATTTTAATGACTACCAGTACCGTTTACCTTACCAATAGACTTTTTGTAATGATATTTTCCCCTCCCTCCCTTTTCTCTATTTATGTCTGTAGTCTAGTTTTTAAGGATTAAGATGCAAAGGGCAAAAGTGCATGGAATAAATCTAGGGATGATAAGGTAGCAAGTAAGCTACATGTGTAGCTCAGATAGTGCTAAAATCTATGGTGATCATGGCTGATGTTAATTAACAAATTGGCTTAATATCTTCTGGGCCAGTTTTCAGGAATATTACACAAACTGATTATATGATGTTTCTGTTTAACCCAGAGGGCGATGGCCCTCCATACCTTTATACCCTTATCCTTTTTATATAAATGCATCAATCCATGCACTCTGGTTGCTTGTTTACTCATTCAACAAATATTTATTGGAAGCCCATTATGTTGCAGTCTCTGTCCCAGACAGTGCTGACTAAAATGGACATAATTCCTGTTTTTGGAAGCTTCCATTCTTGTGGAGGATCCAGATAAGTGAACAAGCAAAAGAATTACAGAATCCTTTAGTTACTATGAAAGAGATAAAGAATGCAATATTCTGTCACAGAATAACATTAGAGGAGGGGAGAAATGCCTTTGAAGGGTGGGTTCACCAATGAGGCAATGACACTGAAGTTTGGATGAAGAATAAAGAAGAAGCCAGCTTTGCAAGATCCAGGCAGGGAATCCGGCAAGTGAAAAGGCCACAACACAAGAGAGACCCAGGCGTTTTCAGTTCCTGATGGAAATCCAAGGTCGCTGAGCCACGATGATGAGGGGGACAAGGCATGTGAAGAAATGGAGAAGGAAGCAGGGACCAGATCCCACTGGGCTTTGTAGGTTACATTTAGGAGGCCAGATTTTATTCAAAATGGAATGGGAGGGCATTAAAAGTATTGAAGGTGTGAACTGATGAACAAGTTTATAAAGTTTATTTTGGTTGCTGTGGGAGACTGAATTGTAGGGAAAGTGAAAGTCGCTCAGTCCTGTCCAACTCTCTGCCATCCCACGGTCTATACAGTCCATCGAATTCTCCAGCTCAGAATACTGGACTGGGTAACCTTTCCCTTCTCCAGGGGATCTTCCCAACCCAGGGATGGAACCCAGATCTCCCACATTGCAGGCAGATTCTTTGCCAGCTGAGCCACAAGGGGAGCCCAAGAATCCTGGAGTGGGTAGCCTATCCCTCCTCCAGGGCATCTTCCAGGCCCAGGAATCAAACCAGGGTCTCCTGCATTGCAGGCAGGCTCTTCACCAGCTGAGCCACCAGGAAAGCCTTGCAGGGAGGATGTGTGCAAAAGCCAGAGGACTCGTGTTGCAGGGAGGGGCCGTGTGGGTCTCTTCTAGGCCGGCTTGGCAGTCGCCTGGACGGGCCTCTGTTGCAGGGTGGCGGTCCCTGGCGATCCTGGGTTCGCCTCCCTCCTTCCTCATCGTCACTTGCTCCATGCCGTGCAGTGACCGTCAGCACACTGGTCCTCCACGTGGGGACTCACGTCTGGGTGGGTCCTCCCCAGGGCCTCCACAGTCCAGCCCAGCGTTCCTCAGAATCCTCGGGGTGCTGGCAGCATGCTGGTGAGCCTTGAGGGGTTTCCCCCTAAAACCTGAATTTTTTTTGTTATCGTCAGCCAGGGTGCTTGTATCTTTTTTCCCCTTTACAGAGCTGAGGCTGCAATGTTATTGCTGCTATTGCTGCCCTGTGAGATGGCAGCCCAAACAAAAAACTAGTGGAAACTTTGTCGTGTTTGGTCACAACTTTACTCAGTTTTATTGTAAAATTGACGTGACCTTGGTTTTTTTAAATTTCTGAAATTTTTAAGTTTCTGCTCAGCCCCCTAAATTAGACTCAGAAAGCTAGTAAATTCCGCCCTTCTCCATTGAGATGTGCAGTTTGGGGGTTGAATACTTATTCTTACTTGTCCTTTTGTCTATGAAGGTCCTAGCATCTAGGACCAGAAGGAGATGATAACCCAGCACTAAGGTGATGGGGTTTCCCTTGTAGCTCAGCTGGTAAAGAATCTGCCTGCAATGCAGGAGACCCGGGTTCAATTCCTGGGTCGGGAATGGAGAAGGAAATGGGGTCCCTGGAGAAGGAAATGGCAACCCACTCTGGTATTCTTGCCTGGAAGATCCCATGGACAGTGGAGCTGGCAGGCTACAGCCCACAGGGTCACAGAGTCAGACACGACTTAGCAACTAAACCACCACCAAGGTGATGAGGTCCAGGTGGACCAGCTGAGAAGGTGACCCCCTCCTGGGTCAGCTTGGCCAGCTTGGGTCAGAGTCCTGAGCTCGCCTGGGAAGAGCTGACTTGCTAGCCGCTGAGCGAGAGGAGGCCCCCCTCCAAGGGAATGACCTCCCCTCTTACCAACATGCATCTTAACACCAGGCATCTCATCCATCCTGAAAGTTCTGTTCTTCTTTCGGTCCCTGTTCTGAAGAACTGTCCTTTGTTTGCTTCCTTTTCATTAAACATTTATGAGACCCCAGATACATGGCAGGGACTAATTATCAGCCATAATCATACCTGTATCAGTTCAGTTCAGTCGCTCAGTCGTGTCTGACTCTTTGTGACCCCATGGACTGCAGCACGCCAGGCCTCCCTGTCCATCACCAACTCCCAGAGTTTACTCAAACTCATGTCTATTGAGTCGGTGTTGCCATCCACCCATCTCATCCTCTGTCGTCCCCTTCTTCTCCCACCTTCAATCTTTCCCAGCATCAGGGTCTTTTCCAGTGAGTCAGCTCTCTGCATGAGGTGGACAAAGTATAGTTGATTACAATGCTGTGTTAATTTCTGCTGTATGTAAAAGTGATTCAGTTATATACATACACACATGTATATGTATATATATATATTTCTTTTTCAGATTCTTTTCCATTGTGGTCGATTACAGGATACTGAATATAGTTCCCTGTACTACACAGCAGGACCTTGTTGTTTACCTGTTGTATATAATATTGTGTATCTGCTAATCCCAAACTCCGAATTTATCCCCAACCCATTTCCCCTTTGGTAGGCATAGGTTTGCTTTCTATGTCGGTGAATCTGTTTCTGTCTCATAAATGAGTTCATCTTTTGCTTTATTTAAAAGAGCAAAGTCAGTTTTTAGAATATAATCTTAATTATTCAAGATTTAAATATTTATGTGTTTTACTATTTGAGTTATTAACATTTAATGACTTAGTTGTTTCTATAGTTTAATGTTTAACATTTAAAATTACTTAGGCTTCTATGCAAGGATTTTTTTTTTTTTTTTCATTTTAAGCGAGTGGTCTCATGGTAAGGCGCCTGTTCTGGCCTTTTAGGAGCGCCTCAGTGCCCCGTGTACCCCACGGAGCTGGTGTTCGCGCTGGACCAGTCGCGGAGCGTCACAGAGCCCGAGTTTGCGCGGATGAAGGCGATGATGTCCTCCCTGCTCAGCGGCCTCCGGGTCCGCGAGGACCACTGCTCCGCAGGCGCGCGCGTGGCCGTGCTCGCCTATGACTCCCACGCCAGGCTCCTCATCCGCTTCTCCGACACCTACAGGAAGGACAGACTCCTCCGAGAGATCGAGGCCCTCCCTTACGAGCGCTCCACGGCCAGCAGGGACATCGGCAAGGCCATGAGGTTTGTCTCCAGGCACGTCTTCAAGCGGATGCTCCCGGGGTCTCACGCCAGAAGAATCGCCACCTTCTTCAGTGGCGGCCCATCCGTGGACCCCCAGACCATCACCACCGCCGGCCTGGAGTTCAGCGCCCTGGACATCATCCCGGTGGTGATCGCCTTCAATCAGGTGCCCGCGGTGCGGCGATCGTTTGTGGTAAGAAGGGCCTCCTGCCTCATGAGTCTTCTCTGTCTTTCTGCCCGTGTTCGGGGACATTTACAAGAAAGCATGAAGCTGAGTGTTTGTTCGTATGTACCAGGAGCATGCCAAGCCCTTGATACGCACCGTCCTGTTTAGTTCACACAAGCAGCGTGTGAGATGGGAATCGCTGTTATTCCCATTGTGTAGATGAGAACTCTGAGTCTGCAGAGTGAGTGAGTGAAAGTCGCTCAGTCGAGTCTGACTCTTTGTGACCCCATAGACTATAGAGTCCATGGAATTTTCCAGGCCAGACACTGGAGCAGGTAGCCTTTCCCCTCTCCAGGCGATCTTCCCAACCCAGGAATCGAACCCAGGTCTCCCTCATTGCAGGCAGATTCTTTACCAGCTGAGCCACAAGGGCAGCCCAAGAATACTGGAGTGGGTAGCCTATCCCTTCTCCAGCGGATCTTCCTGACCCAGGAATCGAACCGGGGTCTCCTACACTGCAGGCGGATTCTTTACCAGCTGAGCTACCAGGGACGCCCGAGTCTGCAGAAGTGGACCCATGTGCCCAGGTTCACACAGCTGACAAGTGGCCAAGTCAGGGCTTGGATCCAGGCCTCTTTTCTCCAAGACTCTCTGAGTTGGCTCTGGTGTATAGATACTAAGTTGGAGGGCCAATAGACATTCAAGGATGTCACTGAGGTGGCCAGCGTGTTGGTCACTGCTGTGTCATGGAAACCAACAGACTGATTTTGTAACTTTACCGATCACGTAAATATCCACCCTTTATGAAGGAAAAGTCATTCCAGTTACAGCCTCTGAGGTTGAAGATTAAAAGCTTCCTGTGTAATATTTCTATTGACACTTTGATTTATTTATTTTTCATTCTTGAGTGCCCAGCAGCTTGTGAGATCGTAGTTCCCTGACCGGGCGTTGAACCCTCACCCTCAGCAGTGAAAGTGCAAAGTCCTGACCTCCGGACTGCCAGGAAATTCGCTGTGTAGCATTTCTAGATAAACCACCTGGTATCACAGCGGCGTTCAAAACTCCCTGTGAGTAGAGCCTCTGTGGCAGAGGTTCCTTACAAAACAAGAACGCCCGCTGGACCCAGCACAATGAACTTCTGGTCATCGGTGTCCCCCCAGCCTGCTGTATTGTTCTCCATTCATGGGAGAGCCGTGAGGAGAGATCACAGCGCAACCACAAGGGGGGTTGGAAAATACAACCTGAGCCAGGAGGACAAGTGTTTGCAAAATTATTTCATGGAGAGGAAGGGAAGTGAGAAACAGCTGAGCCCCTGCCTTCAGGTGTGTGGAGGGTTATTACTGGAGAGAACTAGCCAGCCGGCTCCAGGAGAAGAAGCTCTCCCATTAGAGAAACTGGGAGCCATAGCAGTGGCAAACCCTGGTTTAGACCTGAGTAGGGACGATGAAGGCAAGACTGGTGGATGTTGTCACGGGCCAGATGGCTAAATGTAAGTGGGCAAGATGCCTCCTTTCTCTGAGGCTTTTTCTAGGGACGGTCACTCACCTGGCAAGGGTGACCTCCATCTGTCCTGGAGAACTAGAATTAAGAGGCCTTTGAGAAGGTCCCCTGGAGAAGGAAATGGCAGCCCACTCCAGTACTCTTGCCTGGAAAATCTCATGGACAGAGGAGTCTGGAGGGCTGCAGTCCATGGGGTCGCAGAGTCGGGTACCACTGAGCGACTAACACTTACTTGCTTACTTAGAGACCCTCTCCAGCTCCCTAATATTTTCTGTGAAAGTGCTAAGCTAAGCAGATCAGAACTGAAATACAGTACTCCTCCATAAAATGCAGAAAGCGGTGCTTGCTTCCTGAAGTTGGTGCAAAGAGGAAATGATGTCGCTCCATGCACCAGTGCCTGGGATACAGCAAACACTCAAGAAAGGTAGTTCTTGTTTTAATTAGGATTGTTACCAGTTTCTTTTTTTAAATTAATTAATTAATTTTAATCGGAGGCTAATTACTTTACAATACTGTAGTGGTTTTTGCCATACATTGACATGAATCAGCCGTGGGTGTACATGTGTTCCCCATCCTGAACCCCCCTCCCACCTTGATAGTGAACTAAAGTCTGTTTAACAATATTAAAGTCTGCATTGTTAAGAAGCTGAAACTGCTATTAGCATCATTGAACAAAGGAACAGGTTAATGTATGAGGCTCAGAAAATAAAATGCTTGCACATTAGAAGCTGGATCCAGCCTACGCTAATGAAGTTGCTGTGAGAGGCAGTGGCTCCAAAGCTCTGTGAGTGGACCCACAGTCCTCCTAATTCCCTATCTTTATTGGGAGCCCCCATTGTCCTTTGACTTTATGTGGTCGCAGAAAAGACAATTCAATATCCTGATTCAAATAATTGATGGTACCTGTGATACAAATTTAAACAGACACAATTCCACCCACCCACTCAAAGGTATGTGCATTGCATACAACTTAAAAAAAAAATGTATTTTGTTGAGTTTTTCTTTTAAGCTTTGGAGGACTGACAATCCCACTTAGAGTTTTTACCCAAATCACCTAGAGACTCCTTGCTCCTTTATTGAAGGAGTTTATCTCCGAAGACCACCAGTGGAGGTTCAAATACTTGACAATGACCCTCATAGACCAGAGCAGTATTGGCTTCAGCCTCCCTTGGGTAGAAAAAAACTTAGACATGCAGACAGAAGTCAGGCTTGGTCCCAAGGTTCATTCATCCTACATATGTTGAGTGAGCAGCTCAGATATACCAGGTGCCATCCGAGACCCTGGGGATACTGGAGTAAGTAGAAAACCAGAAGACCTCACCCACTAGAGGATGGAGCTATGCAGGGATGTCCCGGGCACTCAGAACAAATCAATAGGAGCCTAATACCGGGCATTGCACAAGAGAGATGATGTTACTACTTTTCCTTTTCCCCTCTGCTTCTTTTTGAATTTATTTTTAATTGGAGAATAATTACACTATTGTGATGCTTTCCACCGCATATCCACATGAATCAGCCATAAATATGTCATTTATTAGTATTTTAGGAACAGCGCTCAAAATTTTAATGACATGATACACTTTTATTTGGAGGCCATGTCACAAAGCTGTCATCTGTTTCGTAACCATTGTGACTTTTCTACATATCCATTTGCCTGAGAGTTCAGCAGAATCCAACTGAAATTCAAAACCGGTGTAGACGTGTGTGGCAGGTCTCAGACGAAGCTGCTCTGACACCACGGGCTCATTTCCCTGTGTTCCTGAGTGAGCAGATCGTGTAACCCCCATCCGGACATTTTTCACGATGGTGTGAAGCTGAGTGACGAGCTATTCATTCTGCTGTAACACAAGGCTATTTTGATTGAAAAATCTTTAACCTCAGCCTTGTTTTGCCCCAAAGGTTTTTTCTTTAAATTTGTTGGGCAATTACCTCTTAATTCTGGTGAACTTTCATTTGCTGCATGTGAAGAATTCTAGTGTAGAATGGGCCTCCGTTTACAATATACTTACAAGAAATGTATCGTTTTTGAGTTTAGTTCAGTCGCTCAGTCGTGTCCGACTCTTTGTGACCCCATGAACCACAGCACGCCAGCCTCCCTGTCCATCACCAACTCCCAGAGTCCACCCAAACTCATGTCCATTGAGTCGGTGATGCCTTTCAACCATCTCATCTTCTGTCGTCCCCTTCTCCTCCTGCCCTCAATCTTTCCCAGCATCAGGGTCTTTTCAAATGAGTCAGCTCTTTGCATCAGGTGGCCAAAGGATTGGAGTTTCAGTTTCAGCATCAGTCCTTCCAATGAACACCCAGGACTGATCTCCTTTAGGATGGACTGGTTGGATCTCCTTGCAGTCCAGGGGACTCTCAAGAGTCTCCTCCAACACCACAGTTCAAAAGCATCATTTCTTGGGTGCGAAGGTAGACTTTGGTGGTACCTACCTGATACCAGTAACATGCTTTTCAGTTATGAACTCATTTTGTGTGCACCCTTGCCCTTTTAAAGAGTAACGTGACTGTTCTGTTTCACAGATGAGAAAACAAGGGCAAAGCTGCTTGTCCTCCAGCTAGAGGGAGAGTCATGGGTTAAACCCAGACCAGTGTTCTTAGGCCCCACTGACGTTCTGCCTCCCGGGGACCCTCTGAGAGGACGGGGGCGCCTTTGCTCTCTGCAGGTCTCAGCTCTCTGAACCATCCTGGGAGGTGCCGCAGCCCCACTCATGAATCTCTTCTTGCTTCTGCTTTTTGCAGATTGACGACACAGGCAGATTCCAAGTCATCATTATCCCATCCGGAGCTGACTCCGTACCAGCACTCGAGGGACTCCAGCGGTGTACTTTCTGCTACGGTGAGACCCCCGGGGAGAACGTAACTTGATCAGCAGCATAGTGAGTCACTATGGAAAGGAGGGGCTGGAACTCGGCGGCAGCGAGTGGTCTTGGGAGGGTCTCCCCGGGGCTCACCCTGCCACACAGCCTCATCCACAGGTGGAGCCTCTCAGCTCATGCACCTTCTGGGAAACAGGAATCATCTTTAGAAATAAACTCAGCCTGCCTCATGGCCAACTTCCTTGTGCGGTGAAATACATTTATGAGCTTTCTAAACCTCAAATGTTCACAGTCCCAAAGAAATGCTTTATGGTGGAAGTGGAAGTTAGCAGAAATGGATTTCTCATTGGAAAGAGGCTTTCTCAAAGCCCTAAACATTAGGGATCCGAAAGATTTACGATGCCGATTTGCCTGTGACTGTTTACACCCAATATGTAGTTCTAGCTAGAGAACGGGCCAAAACCTGCATTTGAGTGTTCTAATAATTTGAACATGCTAGTAATTACAAGAGTGGGAGTCGCTGAGGTTTCTGGTGGGTGTGATCGCTAACGGTTATCAGACATTCATTATTAGCCAGGCACTGTTCTAATTGCTTTATGTAACAGTGATGGTGGTGATGATGATATTTAATACTTAGGCTATTGGGTTTAATGCATTCCAAGTGCAGTGCAGTGCAGTACAAGTCGCTCAGTCATGTCCAACTCTTTGCAACCCCATGGACTTTACAGCCCATGGAATTCTCTGGGCCAGAATACTGGAGTGGGTAGCCTTTCCCTTCTCCAGGGGATCTTCCCAACCCGGGATTGAACCCAGGTCTCCTGCAGTGCAGGCAGATTCTTTACCAGCTGAGCCACAAGGAATGCATTCCAAACACCCTTGTAACAGTTTCATTTGATCCTTATAATGGCCCTAAAATTTTTGAATGATTATTAGATCCATTTTACAGATGAGGTGAAATAATTTGCTCACAGCCAAATTGAAATCAAGAAGGCCGGTTTTAAGACACCTGTGGTTTATGAGAAACACAGATCGCATTATGCTGTTCCCTGAGACTCTGTACCTAGCCTTGAAGTAAACGGTTAATTCCTCTCCTTCTCCACATGTGTCAGTGAGATGCTCCTTCTGGCCGTATGAGTGACTCCTGGGCAGGTGGTGACTCTGAGAGAGAGGTGGGATTCTCTCTTAATAACGCGCTCTTCCTGCTGTCTTGCCCGCTGCTGCCCTCTGATCAGTCACTTCCCCCAGCCCCAAGGAGCTCACCACACTGCGGGCAGATTCTTCCCACTCGAGTTCTCAGCTGTGGGTTCAGACTCAGTGACACATGCGCCAGTGTGATTTGTGGTCAGAAGTTATCCGCGTGTATCTGGAGATAGATCTGGGCTCCATTTCTTAAAGCCTTGTTTTGTCTCTGAGGCACTAAATGGAAGGTATTTTGGCTGTTGTTTCCCGCAATTAAGAAACCCCACAAAACTGAGCAAATGGGTGGGCTGCTGGTTTTAAATATGTATTTATTTATTTGGCTGTGCTGGGTTTTAGTTGCAACACATGGGATCTTTAGTTGTGACATGCAAACTCTTAGCTGTAACATGTGGGATCTAGTCCCCTGACCAGGGGCCAAACCCGGGCCCCCCTGCGTTGGGAGCTCCTAAGTCTTAGCCGCTGGACCACCAGGGGCGTCCCCAGAGTTTATATCTTTATTGAGTCCGTGAGCAAGACTGGAGTTTTGAAATTTGCTCCATCCATTAAGGATCTGCACTCTGCTTATTAACCTTTCATTTAATTGCTTTTATTCATGGCTGGGCCCTTGTCTAAGTACTGGCTATCCACATGCGTAGTTTTCCATTTCTCTTTGGTTTTTAAAGAGAAAAGTCTCTTTAATGCTCATCTTAACCATCAGCTGTTATTGAAAATGTAGGACTGCAGAGTGTTGGCCCTATAAGGGCTCTCTAGGTGCATCTAATCCAACCATCTCATTCTATGGAACTGGGGCCCGGTGGAGGCTTGGACAGGGGCACACAGCTTGTTTGTTACTGGGGACACAGACCAGAGCCCAGATATCCTGACTTTCAGGCCAGTGGGCCTATCCACCCTGCAGAACAATGTGGCCTTGCCTCAAACAGTACAGCGCTGACTTCATATGCAGATACTTCTAGAAATGCAGATGTGTCCTTTGACAAAATAATTTTATTCTCCTGCCCTCAGGCTCTTTGGTAAAATTAGGAGATTAGGTGACCTCTAAGATCCTTTCATTTCCAAGTTTTTTTTTGTTCCTCTGAGTATTGTGGTCAGATTCAGTCAAATGCACTCTCTGTTTTATTACTACACCTTCTTTTAGAAAATGAGATATGCACACATTAAAATGACCTCATATTTTATGAAAGCCCATTAACATGTAGTATTTATATTCATTTATTTAATAAACACATACTGAGCATTCAACTGATCGGTATAATATATAAATGGTAGCTCTGTCCTTAATGTCTCTACAGGGGGAAAAAAAAGACATTGAGTTATAAACCTTTATTTAAATTGAAATAAAAGATGCATTGCTTTTTTTGCACTCTTCCATTTTAAGCAGATTTCTTTTCGTAATAAGGTAGCGTGTGCAGAATGACAGGGGCCCTTGGTTTAACCTGTATATTGTCAATTAGAGAGGTCATTTCTTTTTACGTCATGATACAGTAAACACACATGCAAACATGAGATCAACTGTCCAAGTCAATCTTTATAAACTTAAAACGCAGCCAAGATGAAACTTCTGTTGAAAGCAACCTAATTTCAAAGAGTCAGATAGTGTCAGTGAATGGAACTCCACACATGGCCTGAGTTTAAAATCTGTACTTTGGGGGTCAGGGTGCAAACCACATGGTAGGAAATCTTCCTGTCGCTGACCTCAAAGTCATTTAGTTACTATATTAACATCAAAGATCATGCAGACTCCAAATGTCGAAATGCTAGAGATGCTATCTTCCCTTTTACTGACCGTTTCTGTTTAGTAACCCTAAATGACTTTCGGTCTGCAGATGTGTGCAAGCTGGATGCTTCTTGCCATCAAGCCAGACCAGCCCTTGTGCAATCTTATGTGGACGCTGCTTTCCTTCTGGACGGCTCCCGGCACGTGGGAAGTGCAGAATTTGAAGACATACGGGGATTCTTAGGAGCACTGTTAGATCACTTCGAAATCACCCCAGAGCCTGAGACCTCTGTCACCGGAGACCGGGTGGCCCTATTAAGCCTCAGTCCCCCTCACTTCCTACCCAACACTCAGAGGAGCCCTGTTAAAAGCGAATTCAACCTGACCACCTACAAGAGTAAGCGCCTCATGAAGAGACACGTGGAGGACTCCGTTCAGCCACTAGATGGAGATGCTTTTATTGGTCATGCCTTACAGTGGACTCTGGACAATGTCTTCTCAAGGGCACCCAATCTGAGAAGAAACAAAGTCATTTTTGTGATATCTGCTGGGGAAACCAGCCACTTGGACAGGGAAACCTTAAAGAAAGAATCCCTGAGGGCCAAGTGTCAAGGTTATGTCCTGTTTGTGTTTTCCCTTGGGCCTTCTTGGAATGACCAAGAACTGGAAGATCTAGCCAGCTACCCTTTGGATCACCACTTGGTCCAGCTTGGCCGCATTCATAAGCCTGACCACAGATACGGTGTGAAGTTTGTGAAGGCTTTTATAAGCTCAGTCAGGCGTAAGTCATAAAATCATATTCTTTCTTGCACATTTCAGTATATTTGGTGTTCCCCAAAGAAGGGCTGATGAACTGACATGGATTCTTGGAAGCCTCTGTCTTCAAGGGTGCTGCAGGGTCAGAAAGGAAAATAGGGAATGATGGATGGTGGAGGGAGGAAGCCTATGATTTCTAAGCGTTGAATTCTCTGGCTCCTCTTTCTTACGCCTCTGGTTCCTATGGAGAAGCAATCATAACAAACAGCTACTCACACATCTGTCTGCAGGGAGCAGCATAGTTTGGGAGTGTGAAGTCACAGTCAGGATACTAGTTACGAAGTAGAAAACCTTGCCATGTAACATTATCACGCTGCCCTTTGATGGAAAGTTTGACCAGATAACACTCTGAGAGAGAGCTAGAGAAAAATTCGACAATCCTTGGCTTTGCTTTTACAAGTTCTAAAGGGAGAGTTCGAAGTTTTAGGAGGCACCACTTTACATGTCAGAATGAAAGATGCATCCTTGCAAAACTTTCTTAGCTTTATTAATGATTTTTTATGATGCCAGTAATTAGTGTCACTGTTGCCCATAAAAAAGAAACGTGGGTTGTATTTCTTGGCACGAGCTTGTCTCGAAAGTATGCAATTCATTTTGAATGCAGCAGGATGGATTCAGAGAAGCCCTGTCCTGATATGGCTAAGGAGGTCGAAACTGTCAGACTTCTGATCATTTTTCTTGGAGTTCAGATGAGGGAAAGTGAACACACAGGCTAACGGACACCCAGTGCTGCATCCTGTGTCTCAAACGTGTCACTGACATTCACCGTGAGACCAGCTAAGGCTGCAGAGACCCTGACTGGTCAGGGCCGGTGAGGTCTGAGGGGCCTTGGGAAATGGTCGATGGGGTCCTCGAGTTCTCTGCTACTCTAGGTGTGAGTCTAGGACCAACGTCCCAGCATCTCCTGGGAGCTTGTGAAAGATGCAGACTCTCCTGCCCCACCCTGGACATTTTGTTCCAGAATCTGCATTTTATCAAGACCCCCAATGATTCCTATATACATTATGGTTTGAGAAACACTGATACAGGATGCTCCTGTGTTCCATATGCTCCTAGAACAAAACTTCTGTGGATGGGTTCTGGAATAGGAACCAGAAAGAAGAGCTGGGAAAATGACAGAAAAAAAAAATAAGTGAAGGCCAGGGGTCATTTGGAAAGAAGAAATCATAAGGCATTTGTAAGGGTAAAACAAAAGAACACCTTGAAACTCAGCCACTGAAAAGCCAGGCACTCTTCTTATTAGCATTCCCCTCCCCCGGCTTCCTTCCCCTCTCTACAGAAGGGTTCTCCTGTCCTTACTATGTGGCAACTTGCTTGTGGCTTGCAATGGTTCCAGGCCCTGAATTACAAGAGTCTGCCGATGGCAAATAAACCCATTTTCATGGAAAAGCAGAACAGAAAACACCTTGAAAGACTGAGAAATTTGTCAAGAAACACTCCTTATAAGGCAAAAACTTGGAAGGAAGTGTAGATGGAATTTCCTTTCCTGGTCCCACAAAATTCTCAGTGGCATTTCATGGTAACTAGTCAAACCGAATGATTAGGTAAATGGCACCCTCACCACCGCCCAGGGAGAGGGAGGAGATGCTTTAAGAAGAATCACTTGGAGTGGGTGAGAAATATGTAAAGTGCTTGTCAAAGTCATGACACCACTTTTCTAGAAAGTATCTAGAAATCTCCAGCATTTAAACTATAGCTTTCAAAGTACAAAAAGTTGAAAAGACTGACATTCAGTTCAGTCGCTCAGTCATGTCTGACTCTTTGCGACCCCATGGACTGCAGGATGCCAGGCCTCTCATGTCCATTGAGTCGGTGATGCCATCCAACCATCTCATCCTCTGTCGTCCCCTTCTCCTCCTGCCCTCAATCTTTCCCAGCATCAGGGTCTTTTCCAGTGAGTCAGTTCTTCGCATCAGGTGGCCAGAGTATGACTCTGACATAGTCATATTCAATCCCGCATCCTCCATTCAGAGCAGGCCCCCAGACCCACACGCACCTCTTCAATATTAACACATATGTAGGGGCTTTTCAGGTGGCGCAGGGGTAAAGAACCCGCCTGCCAATGCAGGAGATGCAGCATATGTGGATTCAGTCCCTGCCTTGGGAAGATCCCCCGGAGGCAGAAATGGCCACCCACTCCAGTGTTCTTGTCTGAAAACTCCCATGGGCAGAGGACAGGCTCCAGTCCATGGGGTCACAAAGAGTCAGACGCGACTAAGCAAATAAGCGCACAGCACATTAGGTACCTACTTTGGGCCACTCACTGTTGAGGGGCGGGGTATCAAGGAGGAACCGAAACAGATCTGGTCCCAACCCTCCCAGACATGCCCGTCCAGCTCCCTCTCTACCTGACTCTTGTTTACACACTACTGTGACAGAATTGGCTATCAGACACAATTCACATCAGAACACATATTTTCTAAGCAAAACTACTAACAGCCTGATACTTAGAGTGAAGACAGATAGCTAAACATCAGACGCGCATGAAGGAAACATCCCAGCCTTGGCCGTTCAGTCTAGACGCACACACTTCAGTTCACAACAGCAGCTTAGGAGATGGCGCTGTGCTGGGCCACAGCCCAGGGCCAGCTTGCAACTTACGATGACCCAGGATCACCAGCAAGAGGTTTAATCATGTTTGACACACAATTAAATCGAAGGCTTCAAGGAAATAAATAATGCCTTTTTAAAGTTTCTCATCAAAAAAGGCTTTTTAATGTTTTAGATGGTATTGGAAGAAGCATGCTTTAATAGTATGAAAAAATAATATATTTCAGATGAAATGAATCATAGTGAATTAAAACCAAAATGGACTGCGGTTACTGTTGTTCTTAATGATACAGAGAATGTTAGGGGAATATCCTTCTCCTTTTGCAATTTGGCATTTCAAAGGAGCAAATAAAAAAAATAACTATTCTGATTAGTTCATGTCAGTTAGAGGCCAGAATGTTAGGATGGGCCCATCTCCTCTAATGTTTAATGGACTTGAGCAGCTAAGAGCATCTTATTGAAAAGTAAGTTGAATTCTCTACTTATACATTTGGCAGTCGTGAACCTAGTTCTAGACCTAGTTTTAGAGAGTCTGGTGAGAAATCTGCTTTCATATCATATGGCCACCCTAGTTGGTGTCTTTCTTTCACAGATGTTGAGTACAGTGATGTGATGCTTTGCATGCAAAGCCGATTGCTGTCATGTTAATTGCTGTAAATGAGAGCCTGCTCACAGATTTTCTTTTTCTTCCTAGGTGCAATCAACAAATATCCACCAATAAATATCAAAGCAAAGTGCAACAGACTCAGTTCTACGGATCCACAGCAGCCCCCACTACAGTTTGTGCGAAGGTATTAACCTGCTTGGTATTTACTTAAACAACGAATGTGCCACCCTCTTCCCCCACCTTCTTTTCTCCCTCTTCATCTATGCTATTTGGACAAAATCTATCAGTATGTGACAATAAAATATAAGTTGAGGGAACAAGAGATAATAAAAAATGACCAGGTTGAACTGAAAACAGAGTTTTTTAAAACAGAAAATCTAATTGTTGAACTAAAACAACCAATGGGACACCCCTGTGGCAATGAGCACACCAAATAGCCAGATCTTGTTTTCTAAGAATCATTCCCATTGAAAGGAATCAGGGCTCCTTGGAGAAATAACTAATCCGAGGCTATAACAGGGCAAGTGCAATGTGAACTTGGAACATTCATTATGCAAGAAAGTAGCAAAAAATCACAGTCCTGTCAAAAGGACAAATGAGCTGTCTTGAAAGGGTTTACCACTGGCAGGATTTTGGACTATTTGAACATCAGAAAGAATAATGATGGTAATGGATCACAACACTGACTTTTAAAAATATGCAGCTCTATGTAGATACCCAGAAAGAGAGGAGGGGAGGAAATGTTCTTTTTTTATACAAGTATGCTAGCTAATAAATGTAGAAGTGGTAGAATTAGAAAACCACAAGCCTGTAATCCCTGTTGTAATAACTGAGTCAGGCAAGGATAAAGGAATGCTAAACCCAGTGGGTGACTATTTCTAGCCCCAGAGAAGCCCTCCCACACTTACTAATTACAAACAAGGGAACAACCTTTCCTGCTGAGGTCGGGCCACACCCACTGTAAGCAGGATCTGACACTCTGTATTTCCTTGGGGGAGGCAGGGGAGACAGAGTACCAAATGTGGGATTCTGGCTGGAGAGCTTTGACCCAAGTCAAATAATGAGGAAACCATTCCAGAATGTGGACTGTCCTTCAAAGCAGCCCACCTGTTTTCTTTCTAGGGGTCAACGTCATGAGCAGCAGAGGGGTGTGGGGTAATGTCCTAGGATGGGAGAGGCTACAGACAAAATAGTCACGTGGGGTGGAGTGAACCTCGATTGGATCCTAGAGCAGAAAAAAAAAAAGCCTGTATTAATGACATCTGGAGAAATGGCAACCCACTCCAGTATTCTTGCCAGGAAAAACCTGTGGACAGAGAAGCCTGTTGGGCTACAGTCCATGGGGTCACAAAGAGTTGGACACGACTGAGTGGCTGAGCACACATAACTGGGGAAACTCGAGTATGAAAATATGTTGTGTGATATTATTGATTCATGTGAATTTACTTAGGCGTGGTGATAGTGTATGTTTGTATGAGAGAATATCTTTGTTCTCTCTGGAAAGTATTTATTTATTTTTTTTTTTTTTTTTATTTAGAGACAAAATTTATTTGGAGTACAAAAAACCATGAAGGCATTTGGCATGAACATCTCCAGAACACTTAAAAAACTTTCTGCTGTTTATTATACTCCACTCCTGTCACGAAAGTGGAAGGCCTATTTCATAAATTAATTCTGTGCTTATCACACTCTTTCTTTAAAATATTCATTTATATATTTATTTATTTGGCTGTGCTGTGTCTTAGTTGCAGCATGTGGGAGCTAGTTCCCCAATCTAGTATTGAACGTAGGACTCTGCATTGGAGGCTTAGACACTGGACTATCTGGAAAGATTCTCGTCATACTCTTGGGGAGTATAATGGGTCATACACCACCTCTGAGGCCCCCGTAGAGGACATATGTCTGTCTTACGCCTCCTGTGGCTAACATGTGATTTACTGGTCATCAGGCACTTACACTCCCTGCAACATGGGTCTTCTCCCCTGTGTGTGTGTTCTAGAGTCTGATGAGATTGGACCTCACACTGAAGCTTCACCCACATTCCTCACGAACAAGGCTTCTCTCCCGTGTGTCCTCTGGTCTTTAACGAGAACTGACTTCTAAATGAAGTTTCACCCAAACTTCATGCAAACATACGGTATCTCCACCCTGTGTAAACACTGGTGTCTGATGACACCTGTTACTGACTGAAACTTCGCCCACACTCTCCACAAACATAGGGCTTCACCCCTGTGTGTGTCCTCTGTTGTCTGATGAGATCGGACTTCTAACTGAAACTTTGCCCACTCTCCCCATAAACATGGGGCTTCTCCCCTGTGGGTGTCTTCTGGAGTCCGATGAGACTGGATCTCATGCTGAAGCTTCACCCACAACCCACACAAACAGTGCTTATCCCCTGTGTGTGCTCTGGTCTCTAATGAGAACTGACTGCTAAAAGAAGCTCACCCATACTCCCTGCAAACACAGGGTTTCACCCCAGTGTGTGTCCTCTGGTGTGTAATGACACCTGACTTCTCAATGAAACTTTGTCCACACTCTCCAAAACATAGGACATCTCCCCTGTGTGTGTCTTCTGTCGTCTGATGAGAATGGACCTCACACTGAAGCTTCACCCACAAACAGGGCTTCTCCCCTGTGTGTCCTCTGGACTCTAATGAACTGACTTCTAATTGAAGCTTCACCCACACTCCTTGCAAACATAGGGTTTCTCCCCACTCGGTGTCCTCTGGTGTGTGAAGACACCTGACTTATGACTGAAACTTTGCCCACATTCTCCACAAACATAGGGCTTCTCCCCTGTGTTTCTCCTCTGGCTTGTGATGACAACTGACTTTTGACTGAAACTTGGCCCACACTCCCCTCAAACATAGGTCTTCTCCCCCGTGTCTTCTTTTGTCTGATGAGATGGGACTTCTCACTGAAGCATTGCCCACACTCCACACAAACATGGGGCTTCTCCCCTGTGTGTGTCTTCTGGAGTCTGATAACATGGGATCTTACACTGAACTTTCGCCCACACACCCCACTAACAGGGTTCTCCCCTGTGTTTCCTGTTCTCTCAGAACTGACTTCTGAAGATTCACCCACACACCCTGCAAACAGAGTTTCTCCCCAGTGTGTATCATCTGCTTTGTGGTGACACCTGACTTCTCACTGAAACTTTGCCCACAGCCCCGACAAAAGGCTTCTACCCTGTATTTCCTCTGGTCTCTAATGATAACTGACTTCTAACTGAAGCTTCACTCCTTCTTGCGAACACAGGGTTTCTCCCCGGTGTGTGTCCTCTGGTGTGAGACGACAACTGACTTCTCACTGAAACTTTGCCCACACGCTCCACATAGTGCTTTTCCCCTGTGTGTCTATCTTCTGTTGTCTGATGGGATGGGACTTCTCACTGAAACTCTGCCCAGTCTCCACAAACATAGGTCTTCTCCCCTGTGTCTCTCTTCTGGAGTCTGATGAGATTGGACCTCACACTGAAGTTTCACCCACAGCCCCCACAAACGGGGCTTCTCCCCTGTGTGTCCTCTGCTCTCTGCGAACTGACTTCTAACGGAAGCTTCACCCACACTCTCCTCAAAGATACGGTTTCTCCCCAGCGTGTGTCCTCTCGTGTGTGATGACACCTGACTTGACTGAAACTGTGCCCACAGTCTCCACAAACATAGGGCTACTCCCCTGTGTGTCTTCTGTTGTCTGATGCGATGGGACTTCTGACTGCAGCTTTGTCCACACTCCATGCAAACATAGGGCTTCTCCCATGTGTGTGTCCTCTGGTGTGTGATGAGACTTGACCTATCCTTGGAGCCTTGCCCACACTCTCCATACTTGACTCTCATAATCCCTGAGACTCCTGCCCCCGTGGATAACTTGCCTGTTTCTTCTGCAGTCACTTTCTGGCTCGTGCTGGGCTCTTACATCATTCTCTCATGCACCTCAGAACCCCCCATTTGTCTTTTGGGTGAGTAGGAAGAGGCCATTGAAATCCTCTTCAGCCTTATGCAAAATGTGAGGCCTTTCAGCAAAGGATGGGGCCTTTTCTTGCCCTCTCGATGCTTCAGTTTGTCACTCAGGCTATGTGGATCAGAATATCGCAGCTGCTGATTTTGATTGCCTAGGCAGGGATCCTCTGGTCGGAGTTGGTCTCTTGCAGATGGTCTCAGGAGGATCTGAGAGGAATTTTTTACTGGAGAAGGCGAGAGAGCAGGATACACAGGGTACATCTTGGGCTTTGGTTCTTTCCCAGCCACGAGCTTGCTCTTTTCCCTGCTGTCCTGCTTGATGCCAAGTTCCTTGCCACACTCGTCTGCATATCAGACCTGAAGTTCACAGCCCGGCCTGACCACCTGGCAGATTTGGTAGAAGATCTGCCATACTGCAAGGCCATCATGTTCTGCTCCTCGTCGTCCCAGGCACAGTTCACATACCGGAAAGGCCCGGATCCGCATCTTGGTGTCCTTCCGGCTCCCCGTGCCTCTGCTCAGATTCCACATGCTGCTCGTCCCCTCCCCGGTGGCGGCTTCGGGTCTCACTGCGATGCGCCGGTGTCACATTTAAGGCGGGCAGGCAGGCGAGGCGCGACGCTGGGGGCGGCAGCGGCGCGGCCCCCGGCCCCCGGCCCCCAGCCTGGGCTGGCGGCTCGGTCTCCGGCGGCTCGGGCTCGGCTGGGGGACTGCACTGGCGCGGCGGCTCCCCTGGTCCCCCCTCACGCCCGGCTCGGCTCCCTTTATCGCGCTCCTCCGCGATGGCGGCGGCGACGTACAAACATCTCACGGCGCATGCCGAACGTCCTCGTCCTCCTCCTTCTCTTCCTCCTCCGCCTCTCCGAGACGAGATCCGGCCCAGAGGGTGGAGGGGGGAGGAGTCTCTGGAAAGTATTTAATAGTAACATGCATGATGGCTATAACCTACTTTCAGATGGTTTCATAAAAAGAAGCAAAACAAAGCATGTGTGTGTGCACATATAAGTATAAATGCATGTGTGTGTGTGTGTGTGTGTAAGGAGTATGACAAGGCTGTATATTGTCACCCTGCTTATTTAACTTCTGCACAGAGTACATCATGAGAAATGCCAGGCTTGATGATCACAAGCTGAAATCAAGATTCCTGGGGAAAATATCAACAACCTCAGGTAGGCAGTTGATAATGATTCTCACGGCAGAAAGTGAAGAGGAACTAAAGAGC